ACTGAGTTGACAGTGAGAGGATGTTTCATTTTTTTGCTGAGTTTATGATCTATTCTAGGGAACGCCCTCCACACGTGCATTTATGAATGTAGCGAATTAGGGGTGTTAAGAATTCAGAAGAGTGAATGTACTACTAAGCGACTAGGGAGGTTGGACCAGGCTTGAAACAGACCCAGCACCCTGCTGCCCAAATTTGTCAAAGAGTCCTCTGTGTGTTCCTCTGCTTGGGATGGTTAGTATGCATCGTGGGGTGTCGGGCAGCTCGGATTGGGGAGCTGCCTTACCTCACAAATTAGCCACAGAATCTGCATTTTAACTGAATGGACCTTACATACTGTTTCAAATATGATCTTTAAAGGAAGTAAACATTGAAAAATTGCAATAAAAATAAAAATCAATCCCTCTCTCTGCTTCTCCATTATTCATAAGCCATCTGATGATAAACAAGGGGTGCGTCCCAATAATATTTCCTTTCTCCTGAAGTGTGCACTCGTTCACTACTTCCTACAAATCTAAAAGCATTGGATTGGTCGAGGCATGGGCGTTTAACCATATTTCTTATACCAGTCAATTCCTTTCAAATCATTGAAGGGACGTGAAGAAGTGCACACTTTGGGAGGAAGGAGGTAATTGGGATATAACCAGAGTCTGTGAGTATTCCCCTGAGCTCTCTGTCCCTCTGTGCAGGGTGCTGCTTAGGTTACAGATGAAATCCCCTTCCCCCTAAACACCTGCCTTGTGACTTCAACTGTAAGAGCCCACTCTGGCCACAATCAATGCAACACTAGTCCATAAGCTATCTACCATACTTATTCTAGAGAAAGACTAGAAGGGAACTTGCTGCTCGTACCATTCACTGTGTGGAAATAGGGTAAAGAAAACAATAGCTTTTTGTGTGTCCCTCTCATCAGTGAGGAATTATGGTTGACAGTTGCATGTTAACAGGTGATGAGGAACTGGCTAGTCCTGGTACTGTTTTGGAGGGAAGTGAGAAGTGAGCTCGTCCAGAGGAAGTGCATACTGTAGCTTGATTGAGAGCCAGGGTTTTAGAAAGGGGAAGGGAGGCCTGCTGGGGGATGTTTTCTGGGCTTGCAATAATTTACATATTAGTCATTTAGCAGACGCTCTTATCCAGAGCGACTTACAGGAGCAATTAGGGTTAAGTGCCTTGATCAATGGCACATCGACAGATTTTTCACCTAGTCAGCTTGGGGATTAGAACCAGCGACCTTTCGGTTACTGGCACAACGCTCTTAACCACTAAGCTACCTGCAATCCCCCTGTTTTCCCCATCACATTTTTCAGAAAGTCCCCAACTGGCCTTTAAGGTGAAGGCAGGGAGAGTCATGCCAGACAACTGCATTCTGAACACTTTACCAGAGAATATGTTGAAATCAAACAGCAGTTACAGTATGCTAACATACTGGTCCCATCACGGCTCATGTTTTGAAACTCAAGTTTTATAGCTTCAACTTATTTTTAATGATTATGGAAGGAAGGAAGGAAGGACTGACCAAGAGAGGGACTGACCAAGATTTGTTGAAGACGTCGTAGCATGACTAACTGAATGAATAACTGATCTGTTGTTGATCAAGTTACGTTATAAATTCAATCAGATTGTTTTCCAGTACTGTACTTCTATTTCAGTCAGTGTGTTATTGATGAGTCACAGTATAAAATTACATTTGTAAATGGCAGGATATGTTCTGTATCACATTAATATGGACCTGACTCTGGCCTCTGAAACCCATAATTTCAGTCAATGTTCTGTTAGGTTGACTACTGTTTAATTGCAGTAACCTGTACACCATGTCGCCTGTCACCTGACTTTACCCTGACTGATCTAACCTGGCATGTCTCTAGCAGCAGTCACCTGCTCTGCTCCTCGTCCCTTCCTCCTGCCCCTCCTCCCCCCAGTGTCCCGGGCTGAGCTCCTATCCTGACGTGTGCCTTGATTGGCCCCAGCCCTCCCCTCCCCCTTATCGCCTCTGCTGTGGAGAGGGTTTGAGGTCACCCTGATCAAGCACTTCTCATCCAACAATGCACTGATCTACAGATAAGTATTTGTAGTGTACAGAGTAGTACACATGCAGAGGAGTCCTGACTGAGGCCTGTTTCTATCCTACACTGCATATTATACATTACACTGCAATAAATAGGCCTACTGGATAGGCCATGGGAGGCTAAAGGCTGAGCCAGGAATTTCCCAGTGTCGCACTGTTGTGGGCTATTCGATGTCGGAATGTGCCAGGACTGTGTAGAGAACATGGCACTGCCTAGCGGGCTCTTCTCTGCTGCTATATGGACTCACTGAGCTGTCTGTTGTATGTGATCTGGAAGGGTGGAAGACAGTGGAGAACAATGTCTGCCTGGCCCTGTGCCTGGCTGTGCTGTATGGACTCACTGTATCGTCTGTGTGCAGAACATAGGCTTCCTTCTGCCTGCTATATGGACTCAGTGTATTGTCTGGGGAATCCTAATGAATTCCTGCAGCCTGGCTGTACGCTCCAGTCATTTATATTTCAGCAGCTCCTAGCTGTCAGACACAGACCGACCAGGCAGATAGGCCTAGTACAGCCTTACAACCCTCTACTGTACTATGCTGTGTATATAGGTCAGGTAGAAAGCAGTGTTTTCTGCTGGGGCCGGGGACGCAGGGCTGCCCTCCATTTAACCTTAGCGTAGACTTTAATTGACTGGCCCTGAAGTTAGAGGAAATGAAGGAGGATCCCATGACTCCGACTCATTCTCGATGGGCCTCTCATCTCATTCACAAGCCATCTTAGTTTTTTTTCTTCAATGAGCCTACAATGACAATGACATTATCCATAATGATACTGTAATGTAGTGTAGATTAGGGAGTAGCATTGGATTGGTACAACATTTTAAATTGAGACCTAACTGAAAGTGAATGAGTGATAAACTAGGCTGAGCGGTTCCGCTTCTCTTGCTCGGTCTCATTGTGTGTTAGATGGAAGTAACACATTTACTGTACCTCCTGTTTTAAAGTGCTGAGCTCGTCACTCAGCAGGTTCAGGCTGCAGAAACCCGGTGTGTCCTTCCTGTCCGCTCAGGGCTGCCTCTGTCGGCCTCTACGTCGCCATGGTTACTAGAAACAAAGACAGGACATTACACGGGCAGACCCGTTTTTTCTTGTCAGGAAGATCCAGGGTGACCAGGCCTCCGCTCCTCCCTTCATCCCCCCAGTTAGTGGTTTTACCTTGATGAAGCTATTTGTTTTCTGCTGTAGACATATCATAGCTTACCTGTGGCCAAGTGTGCAGGAAAAACACTTGAGTGTCCAGGTTTGTTGATCGATATACTCTACAGTAATGAAAAATGTTGTTTGCTTTAAATTCACGATCAAGATTATACCTCTCTATCCCGGATGCCATTTATTTGACTTGACTTTACAGTCAAACAGTAATGTGCACACCCAGTGAAACACTGTTTGAGTGTGTTTATGTCGAGCTGACAGGTTTGCTGGTATGGAGGATCAGACAAGAAGACATTCCCATGAAGCTGGGAAAGCTCTGGGTTTCCGAAGACAGAAATCCCCTGAGGCAGGATGAGAACCGGGGACTAGCAAAGTTTCCACCCCTCTAAACAGAAACTCTCAGTCAGATTCGGGCAAGTCTATAGGCTAAATGTCCCCTCTCGAATATGATCAGTGATGAAAAATCAGCGTGATGGAACTTTAGTTGTCACATCCCACAGTCCGTCAACAGATGTCACTGGGCAATTCCACAGTAATGGAATAAATTTTTTCCCGCTTTAAAATATCTTTGAAATCAATGGTTTTTGTTTGGTATACATTTTAAAGTGGAAAATCAGAGTCTCAGCGTAATTCCGTTACCATGGATTTGCCCTACTACCATTTATGTTATGTGCATCAGTCCATGAGAGATTACCTGTACAGGTGTGGGGTGAAGGTTGTCATGGTAACCAGCTAAGCTTGGCCATGGCCGTGCCTGGAGGGAGGGGTAGAGTGGAGAGAGTTTCAGTAGACTACTATGCTACACCGAAACAGGAAGAACAGGGCTTGGTCCCTTCCTGGACAAAGCCTTCACAACAGCGTGAAGGGAGAGGTTACAGGATGTTACAGGATACAGTTAATTTTCCAGCTCCAATTAATCATCATTACAGTGACTGTATGAGGGGAGTTGCTTGGAGATTACTTCACATGTGTGTGTGGTCAATGTGTGTTGGAGAGTTGCCTAAAAAATAATAATCTGCTATTTCCATGACTTTCTGTTGATAACTCGCAGTTCGAACACTTCTCTAAGAAGTTCTAAACCTGTTCTCGCTGAAGCTCAAAGGCCATGATTGTTAAAATATATGGCAGACGATATGTTATTAAACTGCTTTGTCAAGGGCTATCAAGTTGGCCAGAGCAATTATAATTTAACCCACTGAACTAGGTTGACAAAATGTCCCTAGGCACTAAAAGTCACCTGAAAGCAATTGTACAGTTTTCTGTGTATGCAGATCTATTGCCCTGCCCTGAAGGTATCTTACTGCTTCCTTTGAGGTTTTCTATGAGTTAGGCTGTCCTTAAAATAGGGATTTATCATGGTTCAAAATCCCACCCTACAGTAGGCATGTGTTTGATCGGTGGTATTGCCCTTTAGATGGTGAACCCCACTAAGTGAGCTATTAAAGTCTGCTGTGAGATTCATGACCAGCCTATTTGGCAGTGTGGGGATGAGGTTTGGGACTGGCTGCAACGTAGACTGGTTTGGTTTCACAAGCTCGGTTCAACTATGTGTAAGGTTTTGTGAGTGCTTTTCATCGAACAGGTTGACCATCAGTTTTAGTAGGCTCTGTGATTGACTGGGCAGTGTGTGTGTACAGTGTGTAGGACTGTTGCTGTGTGTATTATCTGGATTGTATGTGTGTGTGTGTGTGTTCACTGACTGACTGTTGTACTTTCTGTCTCTACAGGTGGTTTCAGTGAGTGTTTGGACATAGTGACGGTGTGTGTGTGACAGATACCAGCGATGGCTGCCAGTAAGAGTAAGACCCAGAGTTCTCTGGCCTTGCACAAGGTCATCATGGTGGGGAGTGGTGGTGTGGGCAAGTCCGCCCTCACACTGCAGTTCATGTATGACGAGGTGAGAGCACGACACACATACTTGTTAGGGCTGGGAAACCTCACGATACGATATTATCACGATACTTAGGTGCCGATACGATATGATTTTATTGCGATTCGATGTTCTAAACATATTGCTCACCATATGTCTGCTGCAGAAGGACAAGAGAGAACCATGAGAAAACGAGTTTTGATCAGTCATGGAAATAAGTGCTGAAAACAAATTGGCTCCCTATTTAAAATGAATATGGAGAACAAGCTATGAAGGAAAAATACTAGCGTTTTGGTGCAGGTACAGCAAACTAGCGTAAAAAATAATATTGCGATATTGTCAAAACGATACGTTATATCGTCAAAAATAATATCCCGATATTTAACTGTATCGACTTTCCCTCATCACTAATACTTGTTCCTTTTTGTCATATGTTAATGTTTCAAAGCTGTATTGTGTAGAAGCTTAGTTTTCTAACTTGATACACCTAATCTTCTTGACGATGCCTCCCAGCTTATTTCCACATTACACTCTGTGAAGTACTGTAGTGACTGATGAATCATTCTGACAGTTCTGTGCTTCCTCCTCCTAGTTTGTGGAGGACTATGAGCCCACCAAGGCAGACAGCTACAGGAAGAAGGTGGTGCTAGACGGAGAGGAGGTCCAGATCGACATCCTCGACACGGCTGGACAGGAGGACTATGCTGCCATCAGAGACAACTACTTCAGGAGCGGAGAGGGCTTTCTGCTAGTCTTCTCCATCACAGAACACGAGTCCTTCACAGCTACTGCAGAGTTCAGGTTGGTCCCATGACTAACTCCTCATGTATCCTAGCATGGCATTAAAGGCAGCCTAATGTGAATCAGACTGAACACTCACTATGACAGTAATGAAAGAAGACTTGGAAGCTATGATTTGCTTGCGTGTGTGTGTGTTTGCCTGCGATATAGACCTATGTTTGAAATAATTTCCATGACTTCTTGATTGTAAGACCATACACCTCTATTCCCTTTTCCCTATGTTTGTCCTTTGCACCTGACCTCAATAGTTGCCTCTGGATCCAGATAAAGTATTTGTAATGCGTGTAATGTGTGTGTTTTAGGGAGCAGATACTGCGGGTGAAGGCGGAGGAGGATAAGATTCCTCTGTTGGTTGTGGGGAACAAGTCTGACTTGGAGGACCGCAGACAGGTCTCTGTAGACGAGGCCCGAGCCAAGGCAGAGGAGTGGGGGGTGCAGTATGTAGAGACATCAGCCAAGACACGAGCCAACGTCGACAAGGTACAGTCTGTGTGTGTGTGTGTGTGTGTGTGTGTGTGTGTGTGTGTGTGTGTGTGTGTGTGTAATTACTGCAGACAATTATGTTCTATATGCCATTTTCAAGGTGATAAAGTGATACAGAAATAGTGGTGGACTATCACTTTGATAATTGTCTGTTCAGGTAAATGTGTGTGTTAACATTGTTTATTTTCAATTCTCAAGGTATTCTTTGACCTGATGCGGGAGGTGCGAGGCAAGAAGATGTCGGAAAACAAGGACAAAAACGGCAAGGGAAAGAACAAGAATAAGAACAAGAAGAGCTTCAAAGAGCGATGCTGTTTACTCTGAACCCAACATGGACCTTTACAACACAAAACGCCACAATCTATCGTTACGCTGAGGAACCAACCAGCTCAGAATCACATCAGAGCATCCATCCTCACGTTGAGTCAAAAGTTTTAGATTAGTTTTTAATCTGGCCATAGTAGTGTTGTTTAGCAGGTATGGGGTCAGTTCCATTTCAACTCTGTCAATTCCGGAAGTAAACGAAAATTACAGTTCCAATTTTGCTCATTGCTTTTCTAGAAGTGAAATGGAATTGAACCCAACCCAGGTGTTTACCACATTCTCAACCACTGTTTTTGCATCTAAAACTTAAGGTTAGATAGATAGCTTGACTGTTTATTGTTTTTAAAGGAAGGTGACCATTGTTCTTCTACTCTGTGACTTGAACTGCAACGCCTGATAACAACCCAATGACCAAACTGCCTCCAACACTAACTTCAGTCTGCTTGGATCTTGTTCTGTCTATCTCAATAGATCTGTCCTTTATGATCAACTTATGATTATACCATTTATTTTAATCAAGAATGGGACTTGGGACATTTTTGTCTAGAATGGGAATGGATCTGTGAATGGGGATTGTTTCAGTCAAGCACAGAAATGTAGCGTAACTCATTTAAATGCTTTTCACTGATGTCTATGTGGTCATGGATATCAACACTAAGCTGTGTTTCTTATTGAAAAAAATAATATTTTCTAGTTAGAATTGGGAACTAAGACTGAACTTGTCATTGTTTCCTCTACAATAGGATAAAGCAATTGTCAATCAAGAAGGCTCATTGCCTAAGGATTCAAAGCACGTGATATTATTAGGGCCAGGAGTTTCTCCGGGTCAGTTTACATTATCAGGAAAAACTCCTGGCCCTAGTCTAAGATGGATGTTGAGGTGTGAAGTTGTAAGAGTTTACTAACCAGAGGTCCTGTGGCAGTTAGCAGGTAGTGTTTCTGGAGCCACCTACTGGCACTTATTGGGCACTTCCTGGTAAATACAGGAACTGAAATGGAGCTTCTGCCACATCTGTTAGTCCATGCAATATGGGTCAGTTGGCACCATAAGAGGAGAGTGAGATTTAAGTACACTCTGTGTTGCCATTAACTATCAGCCAGTCACCTTCAGCTTTGGGTTATTCATATTTGTACTTGTTATGGATTGTATTCTAATGCGTTTGTAGAAAGTGCACTACATTGTTGCCAATACCTTAAAAAATAAGAACTCTTCAAACTTCCCATGCTGGAGAATGCTAAAGCGGTTTCTGCCAACACCATTAAGAATATCATGATATAGGCTACCAACTCACTACCAAATCACCCCTCTCTATATAAATAATGTTTGTTTATTAACTGAGTGTATGAATGTATGTATGTATGTGCTTCAGACAACAGTTGATACTTCTGGATCATTTGTGTCTGTGTGAAATAACTTGGGTCATGTTCATTAGGCACCAAATGGAACAAAACGGACTGGCACAGGGAGGGACTACCTGGACATGTCCAATAGGAAATTGTCATTTTCGTTTTCAGCTATAAACATTTAAAAACGTATTGTGCCCTAATGAACGCTACTCTGGTGATTGTTGGATCAGTCACTCTGTTCTGCCCTACAACAGTAAAGTAACATTTCCAACAACCACTGTCCTAATCATTCTGCGCTTTTATAACAACGTGTGACACTACTGTTTTCTTTTAAAGCTAGTCTATTGTTGCTAGGTTTTTCACCTTATTTTCTGAACAAAAAATACTTCAAAATATGTTGCCAAATAAATGCTTTTTTTCTTTGTAAAGTTGGTGGTCTTCTTTCGCAATGTAAAAGGGTCAATAATGAAATATATTGGATTCAACTTGTTAGAATTAGACAATGTTGTCTTTGTTGATATGTGTTGAATGTATATTTTGAAATGCCTACTTGTCTTTCAGTACATGATGGGGCGGCAAGTAGCTTAGTGGTTAAGAGCGTAGTGCCAGTAACCGAAAGGTCGCTGGTTCTAATCCCCGAGCCGACTAGGTGAAAAATCTGTCGATGTGCCCTTGAGCAAGGCACTTAACCCTAATTGCTCCTGTAAGTCGCTCTGGATAAGAGCGTCTGCTAAATAACTAAAATGTAAAATGTAATGATACATCTCATATTTCCTTCAGAATTCTAGTGTAAAGTAATGTATTGGTAGGGAAACAAACATGTCATACAGTATCCTCTACAGGTCATTCACAGTACATGTAGATCTTGCTTTAGATCAGGGGTGTCAAACTCATTTTAGCTCAGGGGCCACATGGAGGAAAATCTATTCCCAAGTGGGCCGGACCGGAAAAATCATGGTATATATAACTTAAAAACAACAACTTCAGATTGTTTTCTTTGTTTTAATACGATCAACATACAACATAAAGCTGGAGCCTGAGGACAGTGTGTCCAAAATAGTACAAGCACAACATCACTATTAATCATAAAACACGTCAAGTTTATTTGAAAATTCTAAAGAAAAAGAACACACAAACACACAATGCCTCAGTGATTAACAGAACTGTTTCACAGATCACAGAACTATATCAGGGTGTCATTTCTCAGGCAGAAATGTAGATAAAAATAATGAAATCCTGTTCCCCAAACAAGTGCAAGAACCACAGAGTCAAGAATAGGTTAAATATACAAATAAAATAAAAACAATTAAAAACAATAGCACATCAACATAAAAACATATAAACATAAAGCTGGAGCCTGAGGACAGTGTCCAAAAGCACAACATCACTATTAATCATAAAACACCTCAAGTTATTTGAAAGTTCTGAGGACAAAGAACACACAAACACACAATGCCTCAGTGATTCACAGAAGTATATCACAGATCACAGAACTATATCAGGGTGTCATTTCTCAGGCAGAAATGTAGATAAAAATTATGAAATCCTGTTCCCCAAACAAGTGCAAGAACCACAGAGTCAAGAATAGGTTAAATATACAAATAAAATAAAATCAATTAAAAACAATAGCACATCAACATAAAAACATATAAACATAAATCTGAAAGCGTTGCTCAAACTCCCGTAACAGTCCCGTTATTTTATCTTTGAACCGCTTCATGTCTGCCACATGTTGGGTCGCGCACACATTTTTCAGACAGGGGAAGTGAGCTGCATCACCACAGGCTTTGTTGCGCCCTTGCAGCTGTTTGTTCAAGTTATTCAGGTGCTCTGTAACATCCACCATAAATGCAAGGTCCTGCATCCATTCTGCGGAATGAAATTCTAACACTGGTTTGCCCTTTTCTTCCATGAACTGTTCAATTTCTTCTCGTAAATCAAAGAAACGCCTCAGCACAGCACCTCGGCTTAACCATCTTACCTCAGTGTGGTATGGCAGGCCATAGATGTGGTCTTTCTCTCTGAGAAGGCTGTCAAACTGACGGTGATTCAGGCTTCTGGATCGGATGAAATTAACAGTTTGGATGCACTTTCTCTCGGAACTTTGTCACAACGCCTGCTTTTTTCCCGATCATTGAGGGCGCACCATCTATAGCCAGGCTGACAGCGCGGGACCAGTCCACTCCGACCCTGTCCAGCGCGCCGACGAATGCGGTAAAAATATCAGCTGCTGTCGTTGTATCTGTCATCGGCACCAACTCCACGAACTCCTCGGTGACGGTCAATGTGTCATCAACTCCGCGGATGAAAATGGCCAGTTGTGCAACATCTGTAATGTCCGTGCTTTCATCAATTGCAACCGAAAACGCAATAAATGACTTTACTTTTTGCTTCAACTGGCTGTCCAAATCCACTGAAAGATCGGAAATCCTGTCTGCAACTGTGTTTCTTGTCAGGCTGATATTTGCAAAAGCCTGCCGCTTTTCAGGGCACACAATCTCCGCTGCCTTCATCATGCATGTTTTTACAAATTCACCCTCACTAAATGGTTTTGAAGCCACTGCGATTTCATTAGCAATGAGGTAGCTAGCTTTCACTGCAGCGTCACTGATGTCTCGGCTGTGAGTAAACACAGACTGCTGTTTCTTCAGACCCGCCAACAGTTCATTCACCTTCTCTCATCTCCGCTGTCCTTGAAAGTTGTCATATTTGTCGGCATGAAGACTCACATAGTGGCGACGAAGGTTATATTCTATCAGCACTGCAACATGCTCTGAACACACCAAACATACAGCTTTCCCATTCAATTCTGTGAATAAATAGGATGACCATTTTTCTTGGAACACGCGTCCACTTTTCTCTTTTTTGACAGAGACATATTGGGGCAATGAGGGTGCCAAAGCACATCATGTTAAAAGTAGAAGCCGTAATAAATATCGCGGGCAAAACAAAGTAGCTCATTGGCTGCACGTGCTTGACCTACTTGCTCTGCCCCGGTATAAACAGTTTGCTTGCTTAACACAATTGCTATTGCGCCATCCAGTGGACGCAATTGGAAAAGCAGTTTCTTTTATTGAAAAATTGCAGCGCATTTTTATACTTTACAAAAAAAAAAATATCATCTCGCGGGCCGGATTAAACCCGTTTGCGGGCCTGATCCGGCCCGCGGGCCGGACGTTTGACACCCCTGCTTTAGATGCAAAAAGTGTATAGGAATTAATGGGTAAAAATATTGGTGCCATTAAGCATTTATATTAACCCTAAAAGCACCAACAGGGGGACAATTCTGACCCAAAGGGGTAAAAAAAAGTATATTTCGAAACCATTTGTTTTATCCTTCTGAAATTGTAGGACTTTGTCAAACAACTAGTTACCGACATAAAACAATTTACGATGATTTCTGTATTAATATGGAGGAATGAAAAATAATCTATTTTGTTTACTAGACAAGGTGAATCTGCCGATGTGCCATTGAGCAAGGCACTTAACCCTAATTTTCTCCAGGGGCACAATACTACTCAGAGCGCAGCTGAGAGGCAGGTGCCAGTCAATGAGAGAGAAGCCAAGGGAGCTGAATTCAAACGTAAGGGCAACCAGTTCTCCGAGCAAGGTGTTGACGAGGGTATCCAATCCTCCAGGTCCAGACGCAGAGT